CCCCCCGCCCCAGGGCCTCTACTGCAGCTCTGCACCCCCCTCCCCCCAACCCGACTCTGCCCCCTTGCAGGGCTCTCCCAAGGCTGGGCCCAGAGGCCACCAAGATGGACAGGGCACTGCTTTGGCAGTGGTGTCTCCACCTGCCAGCCTTGTCTTCTGCTTCCCTGAAGCCCCCCTTGCAAGCTGTCCCGGCTGGGGCAGCCCAGCAGACCTGCGTGGGGGCCGGGGGGCTCAGCTCACCGGTGAGAACGGCTTCCTGTGGCGCCAGGGGCAAGGCGCAAAGTGGGAAAAGGGAAAAGGCAGGGGGAGAAGAGTCCCAAAGTCACTTTTCCTCTCCCTTTGGAAGCAAAGTGTGTTTTGATTAGCTCCGAGCTAGACTTCTCCCAAGACGGGTCTCCGGGGCTTAGATCCAAAGCACCACATGCACCACGTTCGAGAGAGCCATAGTTTGCAGTGCACGCCCCACTGGGGTTTTTCTTGGGGTGAACAGCTGAGGTTATGTATAGCATCCTGGAAACCAAAGGGACCCCAAACTTCGTGGGGTGAGGGGGAGAAGGAGGAGAGACAGAGGAACTAGCTCCACTGGTGCCTGCGTTTTAAAAGCTCAAACAGCACAGCTGAACGCTGGCAATGTGGGCAGCTTTCCATCAAGCTGCAGGTCCTGGAATCATGTCATTGCCTGAGTCACAGCTTGCATTTAAAATAAGTCCATAACCCTCATAAGTTGAAGGCTTAAAGAAAACGTGAACAGCAAAGGGCTGCAAAGCACATGGCAAGTAGAAGGAATTCAAAACCCGGGAGCTACAGCTAAGCAAGGGCACAAGAAACCTGCCCATGGAAAACTGCAGGGAAAGATGCCCGTGGGGGGAAAGGATGCCTTTCCAGGGAATGTCTCGCCAGGGGAAGTTGAGTCTTGGGGAGTGAGGAGTTAAATGAAGATTCCCCCAAGCTATTCCTGAAGCTATTACGTTTTGCCCGCCACATCCCTCTCTCAGGGGCTTGCTCTCTTTAAAAGCAGTTGCATTTTAAGCCAGTCTCCGGAGTGCGGCAGGACCGGACTCGTGATGTTTGAATGCTAGGAACTGGCAGTTGTGTCTCAAGGTGAAGCTAGTGCCTTTAGAAACGACACGTGAGCCCTCTAAAACCATACTCTCCAGTCCACCAAACTGGGTTCAGTCCCAGCGATTTTTCACCGAGTGCGATAGCACTGCACAGAAGAAATGTCCCTACCTGTTTTATCCAACAGCTGGGCTCATCCTTACAGGTTCCCTGTGCTAAAGAAGGGTCTTTGGCTACGTGCAACCCCGAGGGCTCCACCAGATCAGCTGAAAGCTCACTTCTAATTCTGTGCTCCTGTATATTATTACTAATTAATGCCCCTCGAAACTTGGGTGCCGACGTGGGGTGGCCAACTCTGTTTGAAACTATTCCGGGAGGTTTCATCACATGATGTAATGACATCAATGACTTCACGTCAGGAAGGCAAACGCACATGACTATTACACTTTAAAAGCCCACCAGACAACTGTATAAATCTGATTCAATGTTTAATATTTATTTTAATGAATGCCCTGTCATTTATCTCCCGGGTGACTCTCACCGGTCTCCTGGAGATTTATCTCTAATTCCTGGAGACTCCAGGGCAATCCTGGAGGGTTGGCAACCCTATGCCTGCACGGAGGATGAGCTCATTGGAAAAACTAACTCTAGGTGGGCCAGATTTGGTGATGTTGCTGAGGCACAGAGCTCCCACAAAGCCAGCAGCGCTGCAAGGGCCGGGTTGTGGAAGTGTGTTTTCGCTGCAGTGGACCCAGGTGAGGGCACCTGCAGGTGGGTGCTTGGTTTAGTGAAGTGCAACTACACTTGTGCATGCTACAGAGCTGCTCTGTGGCCGAACGGGTGTAGCACCATCCATGTGGAGTCTGCAGGAACCCAAGCCAGGCAATAGGAATTTTGGTTGTCTATCATGGAGCTTATCCTTACACTAAATGTTTCTGCCCTAAACCTGTTTTGTGGTGTCTGGGGGGGCGAACTTCACTGTCCTTCCTGAGTCCGCAAGTAGAAGCATTCCCAACTTGCCAGCCAAGCAGACCCCCCACAACCCACCCACGCACCCCTTGCTCCTCCCTTCTGTCCATCCCACCCATTAGGGCAGGGGTGGGCAAAATGCAGCCTGGGGAGCAGATGTGGCCCACCAAGCCATTTTATCCAGTCCATGGGGCCCCTAAAAAAATTAGAAAATTAATATTTATCTGCCCTGGGCTGCCTGTCATACAGCCTTCGATGGCTTGCTGAAACTCCCTCTGCCCAAAATAATTGCCCACCCCTGCATTAGGGGCATGGATCCAGGTCAGGAGAAAATCTTGTAGAAATCACTTCAGCCAAAGAGCTTCCTGTTCCCCTCCAGTCTGAGGCCTCCAAATGATGCTTTTTTACCTGCAAAATGGCAGCTTGCTGTTTGATTTTTACCAGCAGGAAAACCAATGTTCTTTTATCCAGGACCACAGGAGTACACACAAGTGACCAAGGTTTGCCTTCTCTAAAGAAAGTGGCCACACATTCAACCTCATGGTGTGGCCATTACATAGGGAGAGAAGCGTATGCTTTAAACCTCAGTGGGCCTGTTTCTGCCACCAAGTCAAAGCCAGAAAAGTAAAATGCAGAATTGCAGATCGTGCTTGTATACTAAGCTCTGTTGCCTTTCTTTATTTGGTCATAGTTTATTAGGAGTTCAAAGGGCCTACAGAGCAGGCTTAGGAAATGCAGTGCTATTGTTATTATTATTTGTGCCATCCATCCTATTGCCTAAGTATTTTATCCTCCTGAATTTCAAAGCACTTCCTTGCTAATCTACATATATACATGCATGCACACACACACACACACACACACATTATATATAGATATAGAGAGAGATATACATACATAATATATCTATATCTAGCTATCTATCTAGATAGCTAGATATAGATATATCTAGATAGATAGATACACACACACATTGGTGGTGGCATTCCCCAAAGTCAACGATGACATCCGTCAGGTTTGATGGACCTGAGGTGACTGAGGAGCCCAATTCTGGATGCACACGTTCTTCGGCAATGGGGGCATGTTGTTGCATGGAGGAGTGGGATTCACAGCCCTGGGCTGGTCTCCTTCTCCTTCCTCTGCTGCCGCCATTCTGCCTTGGATTCAAGTCATTGGGCCTCAAAGTGGTGCACGCCTTGGTGGACCAGGTGGTGCCACGCTAAATGGTCAGCAGCTTGCTCCTCCCAGCCATTGGTGTCGATGCCTCCGTGCTTGAGGGCAACCTTGAGCATATCTTTGTACCGTTTCCTTTGGCCGCCCTTTGAGTGTTGGCCAACAGAGAGCTGGGAGAAGAAAATCTGGTGAGGGAGGCAGTTCTTGGACATCCAGACACAGCGGCCCATCCATTGGAGTTGATTTCTCAAGAGCAAGGCTTCAATGCTGGTGGATGCGGCTTCATGGATGACGCTTGCACTGGTCCAGCAGTCCTCCCATTTGATCCCCAGGTTTCGATGCAAGCACTGCTGGTGAAAGCTCTCGAGGGTCTTAATGTGGCATCAGCAGATGGTCCAGGTTTCACTGCAGTAGAGGAGGGTGGTCAGCACACACGCCTTGTAAGTGAAGACCTTTGTCGACTTCCAAAGGCCTCTGTTTTCAAAGACCAATAGCACTACTTTTCTAAAAAGGATAATACAGTCTTTTGGGCCATTAACTTCAGGACTCTCAGGGTGCAAGTTGGTTTTTTATTTGATCCTATGACACATTCCCCCAGCATACAGGTGGTTCTTAAACGAAGGCAAACATTGAGCACCCCTATGTATTGCTGTGATTGGCCCAAGAAAATACCAAAACAAATTGGTCCACATGAAATCTAGTTAAAAGATGTTATATTTCCCATATTTCTGCTTGATGGCATCTCAGCAGCCTGGAAATGAAATCCTTTGTTTCATTGCACATCTCTTAGACCCCACTACTCCTACACCCGACCCACCATCATAGCACTTGGACTAACAGTTTATGCATCATCCTTGAACTTTCAGGGTAATTCATTCTCCAAAAAAATAAGTGCACTTTAATTCAAAGGTATTAAAGCAAACTAGTTTTCTTTCCAGTTTAAAAATAGTTAATAGTTAAAGTGGGTTTGAATAACCACGAACACTAATGCCATGAATTAAAACTGTTTGGATTAAACAGCTCTGTAAACAACTAGGTGCGTGTAAAGCTTAGTTAGCCTCATGTCAGAACAAACCTAGGAAACAACATTCAGAATTAGACCTCAGTCTTTTGATTAAAAACAGACACGGGTACATTTTGCGAACTCCCTGCACACAACAGATATGCAAATCTATATGCAAAATACATGTGGGCCTCTGCATGCATAATCGGTATGCACAGTTACCAGGACTGTCGCTACAACTGTACTAACTGACTATGCAAATGTCTGTTGGAAACTGAAAGTGATTGTACATCCAGAAACAGGTTTTACATATGCAGTCAGTGGAACTGCAGCTATGTGCGTGTGAAACCTCATAACCTACCCGCAACGTTTAAAAAAATATGTTCAGTGAGGCGTAGAGGTTTAGCCACGTGACTTCCACGAAGGCAAAACGGTTCTGTGCAACCATGGCTGAGCCTGCACACCACCACAACAATTCAGGGCAAAGAAACAAGCCTAGCTGAACCTTGTTACATGCCACTGTTTGGGCAAATGAAAGGCTTGAATTCTGCAGGACTTGCTTATTCGCCCAGCTCTACCTGCTTGTGTTTCAAGCATTGCACCAGTGAGTCAAAGAGGACTCAGAGTGGGTGGGTACTTTACCAAATTGGTTGGTAAGACTTCAAAAGTTTCAGTTCCTGCACATGGTTTTGTAAGAACAAACACCCTGAAGCAATGAGTTACAAGGCAGTTTGCTCGTCTTTGGGCACGAGCCATAAAGACTTCAAATAACAGCCGCGCAAACAGTTTATCATAACGCACCCGGCTCCTCTGGCACCAGAAGCTAAATCTAGCGCTGGAAGCAAATGACATATGAACAGGAAAAAGACATGGGTTTGTACGTGTCTGAAATCCCAGTTGCAGCATCCACTGCGATCCTGAAATAATACCACTTCCTCTTTCTCATCGGTGGCATCCTGAGCGATTTCCTGCCAGGGTTTTGTAAGAGCAGCAGCAAATAAAAGCAACCGTCTCTGAGACAAAGCCATGCTCTGCCTTTGCTTAGGCCCTTCTCTTTACCATCTGGTTCAAAACCACAAGGTAAACAATCAGACATTTTCGAAGCCGTCTCCCTTGAAGTCAGGGTAGTTTATCTCAGTAGTCAAGATCTCTCCCCGCAATTTCTTTTTCTTGTATGACTACAGTCACTGTAAACAGAGCACAAGCTCTCTAGCCAAAAAACACATTGTCCCTATGGCAGCATATATGTAACAGCACACATATAGCTGTTAGCCAAAATGTTCCTGCACCCACCGCAGCTAATTTTCCAGCTGAAATAATTCAGTAAGTCTAATGACATCAAGCAAGTCCTATTTTACATCTTCACGGGCTGGGTTTTCTTGCATGCACACCAGCCTCTGGCTTCTTTACTATTCAGTCCATCCAGGAAGCGCACGCAGCAACTGCAGATGCTTCCTCAGCCTGACGAAGGGCGTTTATACCCGACAGCTGGCAAAGAAGAATTGTCCCAACTATTTGAGTTGGTTTAATCAAAGAGATCAGATTTACCCAAAGGGCCTCGTCTGCCTGTGTCCTTAGACCACCACAGCTACAACCTGCACCCGTTCAAACAAGATGGGTGTTTCCTACCATGGGATTGCCTTTCACCTTTGGCTGTTGTGAAGTCCCCCACACCAAAGTCACTGCCGACTGCAAATGAATACGGTGAAATTTTCCACACACCATATAACTCTCCTACTACCACAGATATGCAAGCCCTTGCTTCTTCAGGGCTTATAGCCAAAGGAAGAAGGGATGCTAAATGGCTTCTGGGGTTCAAGAAACCAAAATCCGCCTAGCTTGTCTCCTTTTGGCTCCCAGACTCTCCCAAACAGACTCCCCTAAACTCAGATTCTCTTTCATATTTAAATTGGCACCCATCTGCCATGCATGGGGTTGCTCAGCGCACAGCTGAATTTAGCCCACTTAGCAGGACTGTGCTGAGCCTTTTCTTGGAAGAACGAGATCTGTCCACTCACGAGCCTGCCGCGGAGTCTCCACCTGCCTTGTCACAGCTCGAGACAAGCAAAGCAATAATAGCAGGAAGAAAAATAGCGCCTACCCTACTACAGCCCTAATCCTTCTCCCATGCCCATTTGCATGCATGTGATATCAGGTGAAATTCCTCACTTGCACTTCAGTTTCTTGGCAGAGAGCAACCTAAAACGAGCCCCACTGACCCCAGCGCATCGGCTATGTGCTATTTAATAGCTCTGCTCTTCGAGTAGCGTCTTAGTTCCCTGCCTGTTTAATTCAAAGCAAACTGTACTGAGTCTCTTTATCGACCATATTTCTTATTGAATCAGCCTCCAGCTCTGCAAGCAGGAGGGGAAGCCGGAGGGGTGTTAGCCGAGGCAGCACTGTGGGGCCCCGAGCCAGGCTTGCTCCTGACCAACATTGTTTCCTGTGGTAAGGAGAGTTTCTGGTTACCGCAGACTGGCACATATCAGTGCAGAAATCCCGGGCCCAGAGAAAGAAATGAGCACTGAGCAGCATTGCCTTTGCTTAACTGTCCCAGAGCTGTGTGAAACGTGCCGGTTTACATTCGCATGGGTTGCTAAAAGCCTTTTGAACCACTGGCTCGCACAAGAGTTGATGCCGGCTCCTTCCTCTGTCTCACCACTTCCCTTTATATGCTGCATTCCCAGCAGCGTCCACATTTTGCCTGCTTGTGGATAAAATCTCTGCCTGGAGTTGCCTTCCCACCCTGACATCTTGAACGGGTCCAGCTGGGCTCTGAACCGAATTAGACTAAACGTGACACCAGTTGTGCTCTGGCTTGACCATGAAGCATTTGCACAAGCAGTGCTTCACTTTGGGACGGGCTGGGTTCAAGAGCTGTCATTTCACTCCGAGGCTGGTGAAACAGCCCAGCTTTGAATGTCTTTGGTGGCGACAGCACATGAAACATGAGGACCTGGGGTTTAGAGCAGGGAGTCTCTGCACCAGCCTCCCCACCTGCTCCGCCGACGCCATGGATATCCATCAGCAATGACAAGTGATTAACGCAGACGCAGCCGTGTTTTAATCCCAGCTCCATCCCTCGTCATCTCAAGCAAGTCAATTAACCTTTCTAGGCCTCTGTGAAATGGGGATCGTGACACCTGCCTACCTCACAGCGGCGTTTAAGGATCAATTAGTTAATGTTTGCGGACCGGGTTGAATGAACGCGGTGCTTTATGAGCGATAGATTTCTTCCCAGTTAACGTCCCTAAATTCATAGCAGACCACAGTCCTTTCACCCTACAAAGGCCTCCCTTTGCGGCGTGAAAGCCATCATCCTTAGCCAAGGAAGGATCTCAGAAGGACATGAGCCTCGGTGTGCTGCAAAGCTCCTTGGGCCTCCCATATATCCAAGCTGAGCACAGCCACAGGCCCTTGAGGCCAGGACTGGTCTGAAAACATGCTTTTGATAGCACATTACACCACACGTAAAAACTGAGCTTCAAATAGTTGATGCCGGAAAACAATCGTCTGAGCATTTCTGAACAGCACCCCAAACAGGCTTTTAAGAGCCTCCAAGGAAAGCAGGCATCAGGCAAGATGGCTTTCTATTAGTAAGGAGGAGGTTTCTAAGACATGCTTTGGATCAAAGCACTGGACATTTTACTCTGCAAGTGCCCACCACTAACTTAGAGCAGCCAACACCATGTCTGAATCTTCTCCCTGGGTTTGGAGGACAGCAATACAGCACTACACTAATACCGATTGTGCAAAGATGTGCGCAAAGGAGGACTGGAACTTTATTACTGTGATTTATATCGCAGTGGGCCCCACCAGGATGCAGCTGACATGAGGGCTGCATTTCATTCAGCGCAGGGCAGTCACATGAAGAGAAGCAGTCCTTGTCACCAAAACCTTGGAGAAGACAGATGTAGGATAAGTGGGGAGACGGAGGCACAGGGAGGTGATGGGAAGATACTAGGGGCAAGGAGCAAATCAGCAGCAGACCCAGCTCTCCCGAAGGTCAGTGCTGTGTTCAATGGGCCATGCCAGGTATCCCACTGATAGCTCTACACGGTACCAGCTAAGAAGCTGGTGCCTGAGTCCTGCACTCAGCCTAACCCACCCTGGGCCGGACGGGGCTTTCAGTCCCTTCCTCACATGCATAGGGTATCCCAAAGCACTCCTGCCCACACACACTCTTACAGCTGTTTTCTCTTTCCTTAGACAGCATCAGGTGGAGCGAGGTTGACCACAAAGGGCGCAGATGCTCACAAAAAGAAAATTCCTCCTGCCCCCAGGAAGAATTTGCTCCCATTTGAGGCAACCGGCATGTCCCCGCAGCAGCGCTCGCAGTACCTGGCGTTCGTGGAGCCCACCGAGGAAATAGTGAAATCCATACTGGCCTCTCCTGTCACTGCAATGGAGAAAATGGCCCCGGAGTACATCAAGCGTAGCGGCGATGCAGAGCAAAAAAAGCAGGCCAGGGTCATCGGACTGCTCAAGGCCGCAGAGGCCAGGAACCGCCTCCGAAACTTGAGGCTCCGGTTTCAGGACTTGAGAGTAAGTTCACTTCAGGGCGTTCACCATCCAAGCTGGCTGGACTGGGATGTCACAGCTCCCTTCTGCACCCTACACCGACTTGGCCCATTGCCTAGGGCTGGAAGGGACCTCAGGAAGTCACATCTAGTCCAACCCCTTGCTCTCTACTGTAGCGCTCTGACTATGCCTATGCACCCATTCACCCCTCTGTCATCCCTGCATTATCCCATTAGATTCAAGAAAAGGAATCTGTGCATTTAGGACCCATTTGTAAAACAAAAAAGTCCAAATCCTTTTGCTAAACGTTGGCTAGGAGCTGCACCGTTGCGTGCATGTGCACTGGTGCGTCTAACGTTAGAAGACAGCTACCCCAGTGGTGTGCGTGGCTGTCAAAGTCGTACGTGCAAATCACCCATGATGGATCCGTAGCTGGCAACTTGCTTCTGCAATTACTACAGCTTAGTGCATGCAGAGGTGGTAATTGGCTGCACAAATCTTTTGGAATCCTCTTGCTAATTCTCATCACAGGATTTGAATCCCTGGAAGGAGGAAAGGGTGCGCGTTTCTCTACATTACCCAATTTGGGGTGAAAAACATCACGTCTCTAAGGATGGGCTGTCATAGTCCTGAAAATCATGAAGGCTTCAGGCTCCTGGATCCCTTAAACACTTAGCAAATCCCATCCTAAAACCCTGTCATACCTGCCAGCACGTTTCTTCTCCTGGCATTTACTACAGTAGTCCTTCCTGCTTACAGCTGCAGACGGGAGTTTCTCTGCTCATTCCCTGGGAGAAAAGCAACTCTGGAAAAGTTACTTATTTTAGACCCTACAGCTTCAAGGGAGATATTTTTCCCTAATCCCAAACTAAATGATATCATACTTGGCTAGGCCTGTAACCATGGCACTGGAGTTATTTATGACTCTGGGATTAATGCTATAGTTAGCAACCTTGGAACAGGGTTTCTTCTATGCTACTGTCCAACTGCTTCCCTCCCCCAGCCCGGGGCTACTCTGGAAAGCAGGACAGCATGTCTCCAGGGGGTCTTGAACTTGCAGTAAACAGCATCAGCCTCTGCTGGTTTCCAGTGCCTGTGTACAGAGGCACATCTTCTAGCACAACAAAGGCCTTGGCACTGAGTCTGATGGATCTAATTTTGTTGGGCAGCTTGTTTTTTGTTGAATTTTTTAAGTGAATGTTAGTAGCCATGAGTGGGCCTGGATTAATGGTGCACAGAAGAGGCAGCTTCCCCACACGCCGCTCGCCGGCCATGACCTCAGGGGACCAGCTCCTGGGCAGAGAGCGGAGTTCAGTCTTTGTGTTTTGGACACGCTGCTAAGGCTGCTTCAAAGGAGTCTCTTGGTAGTGATGGCTTGTCTGGGAACTAGACTGACAATCCCCATACAGAGCCCTCAGCGGAGATGCCAAAGGGACCCCAGCCAAGCAGACAAGAGCAGAGGCTGATGAGAAAGCCGCTTGATGCTAAATCCAACATTGGATGTGTGCTCATGATGCTACGGTGTTAAATGCAACATTGGATGTGTGCTCACAATGCCACATGATGCCAAATCCAACATTGGATGTGTGCTCATGATGCCGCATGATGCCAAATCCAACAATGGATGTGTGCTCATGATGTCGCATGATGCTAAATCCAACATTGGACGTGTGCTCACAATGCCGCATGATGCTAAATCCAACAGTGGATGCGTGCTCACGATGCTAAAGCCAATGTTGGACGTATGCTCACAATGCCGCATGATGCCAAATCCAACATTGGATGTGTGCTCACGATGTCACATGATGCCAAATCCAACATTGGATGTGTGCTCACGATGTCACATGATGCTAAATCCAACATTGGATGAGTGCTCACGATGTCACGTGATGCTAAATCCAACATTGGACATGTGCTCACAATGCCGCATGACGCTAAATCCAACATCGGACGTGTTTTCACGATGTCGTGTGATGCCAAATCCAACATTGGACGTCTTTTCACAATGCCGCATGATGCTAAATCCAATATCGGATGAGTGCTCACAATGCCGCATGATGCTAAATCCAACAGTGGTTGTGTGCTCATGATGCTAAAGCCAATGTTGGACGCATGCTCACAATGCCGCATGATGTTAAATCCAACATTGGACGTGTG